CATAACAGATATTTGGCTGACGATTGGATACCAAGCTTCTTAGACAACATAACAGACTCATCACAGTTAAATGAAGATTATTTGAATGATATTTTAGATCAATCTGTTGAAAATGAAAGTAACTCATTTCTCAATAGACCATTCACACTAAATGAATTGTACATAGCACTCAAAAGTAGGAAAGATACAACACCAGGGTTGGAGAGCATACCATATATGTTAATAAAAAAATTACATCCTAATGCGCAAGAAATGTTATTAAATATTTATAATAAACTTTGGAATAATTTAGCTATACCAGAGTCATGGAAAACCCAATGTGTAATCCCCATTTTAAAGCCAAATAAAGCTGCTAATGATCCATCATCATACAGACCTATTTCTTTGTCATCATGTTTAGGTAAGCTTTTTGAAAACATGTTAAAGTTGCGTCTAGATTATTTTGCTGAAACACAGGATAAACTACCTCACATACAATTTGGATTCAGAAAAGGCAGAAGTTGCTCTGAAAGCTTTGTATCTCTGATATCGGAACTTAAAAAGGCCAAACTTAGTCATTCTAATGTTATATGTGTATTTTTAGATGTTAAAGGTGCCTTTGACAATGTTAATATTGAATGCCTCATAAAAGTTTTGCATGAATTGAGCTTGCCAAGAAATGTACTAATCTGGATTTTAAATTTCTTGCATGATAGGACTCTTTTTGTTAAATTTAACAATAAACTACATGGACCTAGGCCTGTTAACGTAGGAACAATGCAGGGAGCGACACTTTCACCTTTGTTATATAATTTATACACATCTCAGATACTTAATTATGTAGATACATCACAAGTTAAAATATTACAATTTGCAGACGACTTACTTTTATACAGTGAAAACCAGAATATAAATACAGCAATTAATAGAATTAATACTGCATTGGCACAATTGCATCTTTATTATAGCAACATTTTAAAATTAGAAATAAGTTCTGATAAAAGTAAAGTTTTAGTATTCAGTAAAGACACATTTGTAAACTCTGGAATTAAAATTAACTATAATAATGATACAATTCCTATAGCCAATCATCATAAATTTTTAGGAGTTGTGCTAGATGATAAACTGAAATTTGATAAGCATATCAACTATATCTGTCAGAATGCCATGAAGAGCATAAATGTACTAAGAAGCTTAGCAGGAACCTTTTGGGGGTCTGATCCAAAAACACTTAGCATGCTGTATAAAAGTATTGTAAGGAGTCACTTTGACTATAGCTCTCTAGCTTACATGAATATTAGTAGCACATTGTTAAGAAAATTGGATGTGATACAGAATATGGGTCTGAGAATAATCAGTGGAGCCATGCGCACCACTCCTATTGTTTCTATGGAAGTTGAAAATTGCATACCTCCATTGTCCTTGCGGCGTTTGCAGTTGGCTGAAAGATTCTGTCTGAAGGAGTTGTCTTGTAACAATGATATTGTCCTGAGTAATATTTTATATCCTGCAGAAGTCTCCCAGTTAAATGGAACAGCCAACATCTCGGCTAATACTCTTATTTCGGGTACATTGCCTGAAATAACAACAATAACAACTTGTGTAAAGAATCAGACAAGAGATATGTACATCAGTAACAAGTGGCCTATTTACAAATGCCCATATGATACATTACTTAATTATCTTGATATAAAATGTCATTTAAATTCGGTTAGTACTAAGAATGAATTCTTAGAATTTTTAAATGAAAAGAAAGACTTTTACACTATATATACTGATGGCTCCAAGAGTGATCTTGTTAAAGCAGCATTTTATGACCCACAAATGAAAGTTATTAAATGTATTAAGTTGCCAAGTAATTGTAGTATTTTTACAGCAGAAAGTTGGGCTATATTAGCTGCTTTGTCGTATGTAAATACCAATGTAAATAGTGTAAATATCTTGATAGTTAGTGATTCTAAAAGTGTTTTATCTGCTTTATGTAACTGTAATTTAGTATATAAACAGAATTATATTTTGTATAAAATTAAGGATAAACTGCAAACGATTGGAAAATGTATAGAATTCTTATGGGTTCCCTCACACAGTGGCATAGTCGGAAATGAGATAGTGGATCAGGCGACGCGGCAAGATCACCACGAAGACCAAACACAAGATTGTAAAGTCCCCTTCACAGATTATTATCAACACTTTAAAATCTTGTCAAAGAAACTGTGGAAGGATTACTGGAACATTACTATCGTGAATAAGGGAAAATGGTACGCAGAATTACAGCCAGACTTACCAACGATTCCGTGGTACAACCGCTTTAAATACACAGGCCGAAAGTTCATAACGACCATTAACCGCTTGCGGTTTGGCCATTGCCTCGTCCCTGCACATCTGTACAGAATGAAGATCGTAGCTGATGACAAATGCACACATTGCGCTCAACATAATGCAGACATAAACCACATAATTTTCCAGTGCCCATCGTTTGGGATTCAAAGGTTGACACTCGTCAGTGAAATTAGTGATGTCGCTGAAGAAAATTCTATAAGTGTTCCCCGCCGCGTTCAGGATCTATTAACTGATGTAGCTTTTTTCATGCCTCTATTTAAATTTATACTTAATACTGTAGGAAAACTTTAATTATTTATGTGTCCTTAATTAATTGATAATGTTTATAAATAGTTTCTTAGCTTATTTTGTAATTTAGTCTGTTCTATATTTATATAATAGGGAAAAAAGTAGAAAAATGATGGAAAACCATTCTAAATTGTTATTGCTAAAGTTAAATATTCTTAATTTGATGTATGATTTGTGTTATATTGTAATGTTTCCGACTGAAGGTCCTCGCAACCATGGTCACGAATAAATTAAAAAAAAAGCGATCACAACACTGTCAATTAGGGATGGGCAAAGGATAAATATATCGGTATATATCATAGATTATCTCCTAATAGATACCGCATCATTGAATATTTGTTCTGTTTTGAGTTCACCAAATGTGTCGGTATGCAAGGGTTGCGGGGGACGTGTCAAATGCGCTGTGATTGGACATTTACAGGTCAAACTTAGAATGCACCAAACCGTATTGATGTAACAGGGTTGGGACATTGATCGATAAATTTGGGATTTATTGATTCTTGATAAATAAATATATTGATCAATTTTTATTTGAAGTATATTAAAAACTAAAACAATCTATACATATATTTGTACATTTAATTTATAAATATATGTCTGACTGATTTTTAAAATGGATAAGCTTAGTATAAAATTGTCTCACAGAATTCTTAGGATTTGTCTTCCTGGATAAGTAGAGTAATCTTATGTCTATGTATTTTGCCATGACACTCTTAGCTAAATCAATGACATGATTACAACTTTCATGATCGAATTAATTGGTGATTTTTATTTCAGGAAAAATATCCTCATTAACAAAACTGTTTAATGTTTGTGTTACAAAACTTGGACAACCATCTACAGATCTGTACCACTTTCCTAGTGTTTTTACAGAGGAATAACTAGTATTAAATGTTTTGTGTACATAATTATTAGCCTCAATTGAGTAAAAATTTATGGTGAGTGTAAAAGTTCTCAACTGTAGTGAATATTTTTTTCTAACAATTTTGCCTGATTTTCCTTTCAATATTTGACGACGTATAATTTCACCGCATTTGACTCCTAAGGAACTTAATACGTCATTGTTTTCGGCTGTTAATAAATTTTTGTTTCCTTATTCTACCAATAATGACATCAAGGAAACTATTTGTCTTTTTAGTCTTCTGTTGGAATCACTTAACTTTTTAATTTTTTTATCTTTTCCGTTCATTACGTCGGTTAATTTGATGATTCTTCTATAAAGATGTTTTTAACTGGAGTATCAAATGCAGATGGCGTATCAGGTATAGGAGAAATTTTCCTTTTTTGTTTTGTAGGCGTTTCTAAGTATTGGCTCTGATTTTTAGGTGTTGGCGAGTTTTTTGCGTCTTCCAGCTTTGAATCAGTAATCTGAAATAAGTATTTGTTTCTTTTAAAATATTACCAATAGTTATTAAGGTACTTATAATACGTTTATTATTCATTTATACAAATAATAATCATGTAATTAATTCTCATTATAATCATACCAACTTTTTCAACGATGTGCCGGCCACAGGATTTTTCGTATTTTTAGCTGCAATATCTGCACTTGCTCCTATGGTAGGTTATTAGACGAAGACAACTATTGTAATTTATAACGTAACGAGTGAAGGGGACATTTCAAAAAGACATCAACGTCTGCTTAATTGTTATCACTTTTCACCATTATTTACCAGTATTAGTTGATCTCCGGTGCATTTGAAATAGGTTAACATGATAAGAATAGCATTTACTTACCGATGAAATATTATGCCATCTTTTTGATAACTAGATATCTTAGTTGACTTGCCACATCATTTCACTGCACAAGAAGCCATTTGTAATGTATTTTGGATACAAAACTATTTTTAAATTGTCAAGAACTCGGACGTGCCTACGGGTCACAAACTTGGACAAAACTGATGTCTTGATTCTTAGCGTCACTTCGTATGCTAGCTACAGCAAGTATATGTTGCGCGCGGTTGTGGCCCTGTATGCGGAATCTATTAAGAGGTAATCTATGGTATATATTGAATCGATATTTTTAAACAATATTGACATCTATCGCGTGATAAATATCGATATGTCGTAATCATTTGCATGATGTAAAGAATTAAAGATAAGATCCAAAATTTTATATTACTGACGATTGGACGACGGAAAAAAACGACAACCAACCATATGTTTGTCATTAATACAACATTTTAAAATATATCGAAATTGATACGAGTTCGATACTCTAAAATAAATATCGATGTATCGCGATTTTTTGCCAGGTCTACTATCAATTATCAAATGTCAATCAATGTGTCAACGTGATTTGACGCTAAGACCTAAGAGAGTAAATAAAAAGAGGTTATAAAACACAATAAACATCATATTAATTTCGTATGTAATATATTACACTATTTAAAATGAGTGAATATTACAATGTAGTGCCGTGGTATAGTAGCAAAGAATGGCAAAAACTGTATGTGGACATGTATTCGCCATCTTCTACAGTTTCATCCAAAGAGGAAGCTCTTAAATTACTTATGATTTGGAAAGCTAGAAGCCCTTCGTTGCCTTCTGGGATCGAATCTACTTTAACATTACTCGAAGTACAAATTCAAGACATCAAAAACATCCATACCGTCAATGATACAATGCTATGCTTAGCTTATTCAACAGCTTTAATGCGATTTGTTAACCACATGCTTGACTCTCAAACCGCTAAAGGATCAAGTTTGTATAAAGCAGCCAAAAATTTGGGTGTTCCAGATTGGATTGTAGACCTTCGACATGATACTGCACATGGTAACACCTTGCCATCAATAGAATTGCTTAGAGAAGCGACATTGATTAGTTTAGATTGGCTCAAGAAAAATTACTGGGACAAGCATAAAGAGTTTATTAATGACTATGTTTGCGGTCAGATAGACTTAGATGAAAGTGGAGAAAACAAAATAAGTGCACTGATGAGTTTTTGTGTTTCATTGAGTATCTGTGCTCATTCCAAGTTGAATATCAAAAGTTTAGGTGATATTCCTGACATAAATATGAGAGAATCGATAGTAAATGATATAAGAGATTTATTTAAAGATTCATTAGATTTGTCAAACATGAAAAAAGTTTCCATTCGTTCCTTAATAAATTTAATTAACACACAATCTAAGCGTCTTTTAAAATCAAAAAATACTGCAATACTTGTAAATAAAACTTTACTCGGTAAAAATTCAATATTTTTATCTTTAGAAGTATTAAATTTTCTTAATGATGGTACTCCTAAAAAGGAATCTAGTCTCAGTAAGCATTATGTACATTGTTTTGAAGTATTGCTTACGTTTTTACATACAAATGATTTGCTTCAAGAATTTATATTGGAGCTCATAAAAATATCACAAAATACTAATGAGAATAGACATAAATGTTGGCTTGCTGCTGTTTGGATATCAGAAATATTATGTGCATTAAAAAAGTCAAGTCAATTTGTAAGCAAGATGAATAAGTGAGTATAAAACATTTTACCTTAATTTTGTCATACTAAAATAAGCTCAAATTCACAATTAAAAATTTGGTGCTTATTACAAACTACTATAATTGTCTAATACTAATGTTTTACACATGCTAGTAGCAAAAGCTGATCGTGTAATTTTTTTAAGATATCATCATCTTTATAGCCCTTCACAAGTTCACTACTGAACATAGACTGCCCCCAAGGTATGTCACAAAGCACAGTTCAGAGCCACCTGCATCCATTGGCTTCCTCTATGTCTTACATTTTATCACTTCATCTAGTGGAGGGCCACTTTACACTGCTCACTTTTTCCCCATCGTTGGGTACACTTTCTAGAAATATTCATATATATTATGTTGAGTTCTTTAACCGCTGTGGTTTTATAAGAACATATATTAAGTGTTTTTTCAAGAGATCTTTGCTACACATCAAGGACATTAAGTATTTTCTTGGCATTGCAACAATCCACACTTCCACAATAGTTATTTTAAGCATTAGTTATGCCATCTGTTACTTTTTAATGGATAAAACACAGAACTATTTGTTATAAAACTTGATAAGGAGGTAGGATTCACAGAAAAATCATATAAATAACATATTCATTACATAAAAAGATTATAGTTTGTACCTAAAGCTTCAATCACCAGTCAGATCCTTCAACAACTAGGCTCACCATTTTACTGGTATCTATTTGTGTCAAATTTATTTAGTGTTGATTAATATTTTTTGTTCCAGAAAAAAGTCTGGTACAGAGGTTAAGAAAAGAAAAGATCTTAAAACCCTTTTTTATCACTGGTTCCCTAACGAAAAAGGTTGTGGCCTTTTATTGGATTTGAATAAGCCAGTACCTAAAGATTTAACTGATATAAATTTTGTGCGGCCTATTATTTCATCATATAATGAATACCTTACTTATTTCATAAAGGATATTCTGAATCTAATTGAACCACAGTTACCATCATTAATAACAGAAAAAATATGTAAACTGGCCAAGATGATATCATCTCCTTCCAAATTTGCTGGTAATTCAACACCATCTAAAATATTTACCGTTGATGACATAAAAGCAGCTACAGAAGATTCTTTCATTATTGACATAGAGGCAAATACAAAATTATCAGATAATCAAGAAGTAAATGTTTCAAGTAACTTATTTGGAAGTGAAGTAACATCTGCAGGCCAAATGAGCTATGGTATATGGCAAATAGTTGCTAAACACCATGATTGGTCTTCATGCCCAATTGGAAAATTGCCATGGCAACATGGCACTGAATCTGAACAAATTGAAGTAAACACAAACAATATACAATCTATGGACACCGAGATAAATTGAATGAATAAAAGTAGTTACTACAGCAATTGTTTATTTCTTTATTTGTATACAGTTTGATGGTTTGGTTACACTTCATTGTATTGACATCATAGAGCCTTAAAATTAAAACAATATACATCATGTTACATGACTAATTTTATACATAATATAGGCTATAATCGACACATACAGCAAACTTTAAAATTAACTTCGAACAGTAATTAAGAGAATAACGGCATTGGTCCTTAAAAATGTGAAATTCATTCTTATATTCCATATTTTTTTCAATTTATTGTATCTACAAAAAAATCATCACATTGAATAAATATGTTATTTTTAAAATAAGATTTCTTTGCTAACAAAAATACTCTGTTCAGGCTAGTTATCATTTTTATAACCATAAAATTTAGATTCTAAGTATGAAAATTAGTTAATGACGGAGTTTATTTCTCAAATTCTGATTAGCTTTTTTATTTTAATAATATGACAACAGTCTAACGAGACACAGAAACTGGATTAAAATTTCTTCTGCACCATTAATTTAAGAAGATGATATTATTTTCATTTTAAAATTTAAAATAAGTAAATAGTACAATGACTAAATTGTTAAAAAATAACTTGATACTAGCAACATACCAACTTCTTATTTATTTGTATTTACAAATTCCCCAGAGGATACCCAAACTTATCTAAATGCACATCTAGTTTCAAAACTTCTTAAAAAAGCACATTGCACATTTATTTAAATTTTACAGAACTTAAACTTCATTATGAGTATGTTACTAGAGAGGATACTATAATGTTTTCAATACACTTTCGTAATATACACCGCCACAAAAATATCAAACGTCCCTAACAATTGGATAACAATAGTTAATACGAAGATCTAACATTATGTAAATAACAGCAATTACTAACTTTCCTAGGCATGGACTGCTGAAAGCAAACTAGTTGAAGGCACAGAAAATACAGTAGATCAATTACTGTGACACAACCATAATAAAAGAAGTTAACAAACATATTATATACACATAGCAATTTTGTTCATTACTCAGCAAAGCTTACTTTTACATATTTATAGCACTACAATGTTTTGATTGTCATGAATGATGATGTTGCTTTCATCCTAGCCACGGCTCCACAAGCGAGATTCTATTGTAAAAATTAGAACGATAATTAACAATAAAATTATAGCTAAATAATTTAGAGATGGAATTAATTCAGTATTTGCAATTCAGTTTTTTTCTTCACAGAGTAGTTCGTTGTTTGAAATACTAAGAAAGTACCTATACATATATAAACATTATTTAAAAGCACATATAGTATTTGTGACTTAACAATACATTCAATAGCTTATCAATAGACAGTCTTTTCAGATAATAATAGCAAACTAAAGAAGGTACTGTTGGTGAATCATTTGATTCAATATTGTTTTAAATATCGATTATGAGAGATTAATGAAGAATTTCAATTTGTCTACATTTACAAAAGATCATCTGTGTACTGTATAACAGTTAAAATAAATTAACTTCGAATTCAATCCCGTAAGTTCTTAATATTTTGTAATATCGAAGATATTATAATGAAGTCTAGCAATTTAACAATTCGAATATAAATCGCAAAACGGAATTATTAAATCTGCAACATGGATTTATTCAATAATCATAAAATATATTTTATGATATTTTTATTGATCCATATGCAATAGATATTTTTATGAAAAATTTAACACGTAGAAAATAATATATAATATAGACTTGTTCTAACAGAAACTAATCACTTGAATTATCTAAATATGGATTGAATAAAAACATTTTTTTTAATTGTATGTGCAGATGTTTTGTACGTTTAATTTTTTTTACCTAGTGTTTGGTGGCATACGCACAAATGTAGCTTAATTAGTTACGTAATCGATGTTTATATTGGAATTGTATTAAATTCGTCAATTTTGATATTCGAAACTTTATAAAATGTTGCTTTTAACAAAACAAGTGCAAAACAAATTATTGGAGAATATCTTTAATTTCAATACTATCAACAATGCTAAAATAGTTAAAAAATAATAGCCCTAATAGACCTGAACAATATGTATGGCTTAATTAACGATCACATTACAATTGAAATAACAAATTTACAATAAATATAAAATATGTTCTAAAATATGTGTGAGACACAATATATTACAATAGGAAGAATAATCTCATATTTGTTTTAGGGTAATCTAGTACCTGGGATAAAAGTCGCACTTGGTACACAATAAGCTCAATAGAAATCTACAATACAATAAACACGTAAAATTCACGTTGGACAATTCTTTTGCAGAACCTGTCTTCTTAAACGTTTCCCTCGGATATCAATTATAGTTAAATAAAAGCAAATAAAATTAGGCAAGATATAAAAGAGAATAACTGGTTTTAAGTGTAATTGTAAATGTCACATAGTAAAATATTATCAAGAACTTTAATTCAGTCTGAATAAATCCGTCTATACAATCTTAAGAAGTAGTGTAACAACTGTTACTGGAAAATCTGTTGAAAATTTTAATAAATGAAAACTTAAGGAAAAAGAGAGTCGCGCTTATATCGCGGTAAGCTTTTAAAAAGCTGAATTTATAACAATATCACAATGTAAAAACATATGCATTTATGATAAATTGTTTAATTTTAATGCTTAAGTTCTAATGCCGCAAGAGAATCAATTACCCCATTTTTCACCGTAGATGTATGAGGCGACAAGTCGTGAAAATGCCAAAAAGATTTTATGCCTTTTAATAGATGGGGGCAAAAATAATTTAACTTACTCAAGACTATATAACCAAGAGCAGCGGGCGGGGAGCGGCGTCAAGTGTCGGATGTCGGGAACTGCGGTAGCTAATACGTATAAACGTAGTCAAGCGTGGCTATTATGGCTAATCTTACCTACAACGGAAGATGCCTATATTAAGCTTCAACAGTGGGTTTCTACGATGTGACGACGAAGAAGAATAAATTCTGACATGAAAATCCCTGCGAGAAAATATTTATTTAAAATGATACCCTTTAAAGGGCAGTTGAAGCAATATCATGATGAAATAATGATAAATAAATTTCAGTCTATAATAATTGAGCAAAACTTAGTCATAATATAATTTAATATTTTAAGGAAGCAAACCAATCTGCAAAAGTTGTTACACGCCCTCTTTACATTGATAAAAAATCCATCTTACTACTGTGATACATAATTTTATAGCTTGCAAATGTTAAAAGTTAGAGATGAGCTTTTGTAACATGTTACTATTTAGTGTATCTTTTTTGATTCAAAAATCTTTTTAAACATTTGATGTGGTTAATTAATTAACCAAAACATATGTTAAAAAAAGGTTTTTTTTTTAAGTATTTAATTATAACTTATTGATACCGCAAAACATTATTAATTCGTTTACGTGGCACATCAGGAATATGTACTTTCAAACAGGCAAGCTCATAATAATATGTGATTGGCACTAACATTACGCCTTAAAATTGTTTTGTAAAAATAACGTACATAAACCGCTGTTTGAATTAGATAATACGTAGAATTTATTGCTACTGCTTTACAATATAAGTAGTATATGATCATAGTACAATTTGCCTGCCAATTTATATAAGAAAATTTAAGGTTTGGCATTTAGGAAAAGCGCTAATACTACTTGGTACTCTCCAGTAGAATCAGACTGACGACGAACGAATGACAGCTGTCCAAAATCGTTGGTTCTACCATCAATAGGTGCTAAATCTGTAGCACCTCAACTCGAACGTTACACACGGCGCCGGGTATCGTACCGGCATGAATGGCGCTACACCATGATGGGGTCATCTGAGGAAAGTTGGCGATGCAGAAGCCGTTGCGAGCGGAGCGACGCCGAACCAGTGCTCAAGTCATCGGTGCTGCCAAACTCGCCGTCGTGGTCCGTTGTCGACAGCAAGTCGTCGTCCGATGTTGCTCTGCAAAATGTTGAAATAATAAATTAAACTCGCGAGTTAAATGGTTTTGTAATAGCACGATCTTCTTCAGAAAATTACGAGTTAAACGGCTTTGTAATAGCGCGATCTACACCATTCTATAGTCATTTTATCTTTTTGTACCGTATGAGCGTGGGCAGGTTGGTGGTGAGGATCTCCTTCTCCTTCTGTATCTCGCTGATGTGTCCCTCGAGCAGCTGCTGCTCGGCGCGCGGCGCGTGCGCGGCGGCGCGCAGCGACCACAAGCGGTGGGAGGCGGTGTGGCAGCCGGGCGAGGCACGTACCGTATGAGCGTGGGCAGGTTGGTGGTGAGGATCTCCTTCTCCTTCTGTATCTCGCTGATGTGTCCCTCGAGCAGCTGCTGCTCGGCGCGCGGCGCGTGCGCGGCGGCGCGCAGCGACCACAGGCGGTGGGAGGCGGTGTGGCAGCCGGGCGAGGCACGTACCGTATGAGCGTGGGCAGGTTGGTGGTGAGGATCTCCTTCTCCTTCTGTATCTCGCTGATGTGTCCCTCGAGCAGCTGCTGCTCGGCGCGCGGCGCGTGCGCGGCGGCGCGCAGCGACCACAGGCGGTGGGAGGCGGTGTGGCAGCCGGGCGAGGCACGTACCGTATGAGCGTGGGCAGGTTGGTGGTGAGGATCTCCTTCTCCTTCTGTATCTCGCTGATGTGTCCCTCGAGCAGCTGCTGCTCGGCGCGCGGCGCGTGCGCGGCGGCGCGCAGCGACCACAGGCGGTGGGAGGCGGTGTGGCAGCCGGGCGAGGCACGTACCGTATGAGCGTGGGCAGGTTGGTGGTGAGGATCTCCTTCTCCTTCTGTATCTCGCTGATGTGTCCCTCGAGCAGCTGCTGCTCGGCGCGCGGCGCGTGCGCGGCGGCGCGCAGCGACCACAGGCGGTGGGAGGCGGTGTGGCAGCCGGGCGAGGCACGTACCGTATGAGCGTGGGCAGGTTGGTGGTGAGGATCTCCTTCTCCTTCTGTATCTCGCTGATGTGTCCCTCGAGCAGCTGCTGCTCGGCGCGCGGCGCGTGCGCGGCGGCGCGCAG